AGAATTACTAATCATATCTGACAAAATTAAAAGGGAAAAATAGATGCTGCTTCAATCAGAATCTCCATCTCGAAGAAGAACCGATGCCTTTGGCAGAGGAGCTAATCAGATGTAGGAGACCAGACATCCTGATTTGCTTACACATCTACAATAAAGGGTTGGCATGTGGAGAGAGGGCTGGCTTTGGCCATAACAGACCATCCTGGGATGAGACCACGCCACACCACAACTTCGGGCGCCATCGTTTCAGCCACACGCAATTTCAAACTCAGCCTTCAATTTGTTCTCAACGACACACCTGCAAAGTTTCATAACTGCATCTTGCTCTATTGTGATGCTGTCACTTTTACATAACCTGTCCACAGACAGACATATACACACCTGGCAAAATATTCAAACAGCTTCTGTGGTAGTTTCATAACTGCATCTGGCTCTATTGTGATGCTGTCACTTTTACATAACCTGTCCACAGACAGACAGACATATACACACCTGGCAAAATACTCAAAAAAGCTTCTGTGGTAGTTTCAGGGACTGCATCTTGCCATGATGACACACACATGCACACACACTCAGGCTGCAGACAATACCAGCCCCACTGTTGAGGCTGATTAAAGATGCTTAAATACATCTCATAAATAATTAGATACAAACATGATTTCTGCAGAGGAGAAATTCCAATCTTGCAGTATCATCTCTGTATCAGTAATTTATAAGTATGAGTTGATGTTGTTGCTTAGTCGCAGTCTGAGGCCATTGATAGTGAGGACATCGTCACAGGTGCTATGCTAACTTTACAGCATTATAGCACTGTATACTAGCATAAATATATCATGAATCCTATCATAGGCAAAATGAAGTGGAAAAATTTGGAAATTTGACCTGCTGGTGGCACCGCACAAAAAGGTAGAGGATCTTGAAAGTCATTCTGATTCTTCTTCTGGATACAAGGTATATTTTAAGATACATTATATGGCAGTACATTCAGACAGACAAGTGAGAGGCTGCTAAAAGATCAATAAAAAACTTGATAAATGGCAAAACCTCTCATTGGGTAATTGCCTCAACAAAAGGCAGACATGGTAAATTAACATACACGCTCTGTGCATTCTCACACTGGACTCATAAAGTATGGATGCTGCTTAATATATTTTTCATCAAGGAGGATGTACTGTAATTTCATCACAACAAGCAATATGCCGGTCCCAAGAAAGCGCTGTATTACAACGTAGTTTTGTGCACTTTGGTTGCACAAGTGGCGAAGTGAAGCGTAATCATATAGGCAGTTGATTTATGGTGCTTGTTCCTGATTAAGTTGGATATAGAGACTCATATAAACAGGATGCTGATGCTGTGATGTGAAGCGTCTCCTGCGTTGCCGATCTAAGTAGATTATGTGCGTGTGTTCATGTGTCTGATGTGATACAGCTGTAACGTGGCAGTGGAGAAAATTAGTAGTTTGAAGTGGAGCAGTGTCTGCGTTAAATTTTTTATGTGCCCTCTCACTTTGATGGACACACATCTGCACATACAAAACAGACGGAAGATGCAGGCCCACGCACACAAAAACACACACAAGCCAGAATTTTTCCTCTTAACAGAGCCCCTTTAGAGTGAGTGGCACTCGCCTGTCTTGTGGGACATATGGCTCAGTGTGACCTGCCAGTGTCCTTCACTGTTGTTGGCTTCGCCCCAAAGCCCCCCAGGCTGCACTGCTCTCTGCAGTTAGCCCCACCTTCTAACACTGCCTCTCTGTGTTCACACCAGCTCTTTTATGTCCCGATGTTGCATTTCTGTTCGATGCTACTACTCTCAATAGGACACACTCAGAAGCACAGCGGTCTTGCATCAGAACACAAACACGGCTGCTTTCATTTCCACAGATGCCTCAACTTTATGTCAGCAAGGAGACATAGAGGACAGTGGCTGCAATTCACTTTCAAAGGACTGTACCTATATACACCTGTTTGAAACGGTCACTTTAAATTCATTATTCAGCATTTGTTAAAGCTGCATAATGGTTTGTTCTGGCCACATGGGTGCAGAAGAACACCACAACTAGCTGAAAAACACCAACCAAATCCATAACATACACAGAGTGGCCACTTCATTAGGTACACCTGTAAAATCTACAGCTCAGCCATTAATTTTACCTCATTAAAAAGAGGCGTTAATTTAACTATACGTGTATAATACAGTACACGTATAGTTAACGTGTTAACTAGGTTTTTTTTGTTTGTTTTTTTTAAAGATTTTTTTTGGGGCATTTTGCCTTTAATCGATAGAACAGTTAAGTGTGAAAGGGGGAGAGAGAGAGGGAGTGACATGCAGCAAAGGGCCACAGGCTGGAGTCGAACTCGGGCCGCTGCGGCAACAGCCTTGTACATGGGGCGCCTGCTCTACCACTAAGCCACCGACGTCCCAACGTGTTAATTAGTTAGTTAGTTATACACAGTGTATTATTGAGGTTGTAGTGTGCAGTGATGTGGAACTGGACTCCATTATATTGAGAGCTGTTCATAATAATTTGCACTGTATGTTTTAGCATAATAAAAACACATATCAATATACTGAAACACCACCACAATGTACAACCTCACCTAGAAATATATTGAACTGTTTCAACAAAAACCATGACTATTATAACCACTGAAACTTCTTGTCTACTGTAGCTTTGTCTCTACCAACTCCTGAGAAAAATACCTGGGTCTTTGAATTGCTACACATTCAAATCTCTTCACCATCTATACCAGCCCGTTTTCATCCCCAGGTCATCGAATAAAGACACTTTGTCATGTCCCTCGGTGTGTGATATCTTGTCCATGTGGGGAAATTGGTTTGCACCATAATCACAAAGGCATTTGATCACAAAATCAAAGTCACCATAAACATACACATATTAATATAATGAAAGTCACATACGAAGACATTCATATGTCCATACAAATACTTGCAGGAGGGGACAGACCAGACCAGCTGGACATCTTTTGGACCAGGACAAAGTGTCCACAGTACATACGAGATAAGATGCTATTGCTTTACCTGTTTAACAACTTAATGGCTTGTGGAACAAATGAAAACGTGGCTCTGTTTTTAGTGAACAGAGGAGGACAATATTGTCGCCCAGATGGCAATAGATTAAATGAGGAGGCAAGGGGTTGCCTTTATGAGACCCACCGGGCCTTCAGGTTACTCCAGTGTGAACCTATCCGTGGCAATATACATGATCCCGACAGCAACTGAAGCTTGCTTAATGCCGGAGGGAGGGGAGGTGGATGGGTCGGATTAAACCAGACTTTCACCCAGGAGACGTAGTTTGTGCGTCCTGTGTGAAGCCAAAAGTCAGTGTTGTTTAAAGCAACTTTTTGTAACATATATACAGTTGTGATGCACTGACATCAGTCTGATGATGTATGGCGCGACCAAGGCTGTCCCATTTCGAGGCTTCTTCAAATATGATCGAGAATTGCAGCCTTCTTTCCCAGAATTTGGAGGATGCAACGGATGAATCCTTCGTGGCCTATCCCAAGATTCATTGCATGCCGGTAACAATTATATGTTAAGTTAACTGACAGTTGTTAACTAGCAAACAGTTAACTGTTGTTAACATTACTATTAGCTAAAAGCACACAGCTCGGTGGTGAATCATCTCCTCAAGTATTAAATTAACTAACTTTCTTGCTATTCCTTCTTTCGTCAAGAGTAGCTGGTTGCTAGGTAACAGGAGCACCAACAGGTCGGGACGAGAACAACTGGTGATGCAACCAGGAAAGCCTCCGCAGACCAGACTGTCCCATTGCGGAGACTGTTCGGTTTGGCTGATGCGTTCTTCAAAGGTCATGGCCGACGTAGACCACAAAGGCCACGTCCTTCAAAGGCTGTAGCCCCTGAACTGAGACACAGTTAGAGACACTAAACGGTGCATCAGTATTTGACGACCTGGGAACGAGAACACTTTGTCTATACAGTGAGCTTATCTGGGCTTGTTTGCTGAAAAGAGATAAAAGCAAACATTCCATAAAACCAATCTGCTAAAGGCACTGAATTGTGACTCAGTTGCCAGTTTATTAGGTACACCTCGCTGATGAAGTCTACAAAGCCCCACTCTCACCAATCAATCACTACTCAGTGTGTTATTTTGAAAGGAAACTCATCGTGAGTTTCTGCAGTTTTTTTTTATTTCTTTGTGTATTTCTTGGTGTTCTGGGGCCCAGCTCCAACAAAGTACTAGCTTTGGTGTTCAGTCGAGATTTATAGGTCTGTACTTTGCAGTATATGCTGTATTTTCTGAGTGTAACTGCGATGTTTCAAAAGGACCAGTGTTTCTGATTAGTGTGGCACATTCTCCCATTTATTTTCCCTCAAGTCTCACTTTTATGAATTCAGGGATTGTGGGGCCAAATGTAGTGGAGCTGTGAAATGTGGGTTTATTTATATATATATATATATTTCTTTTTTTTTTGCTTTCAATTTTCAGACATAGTGCATCATACAATGAACTGCTGTGGAGGACTTTGAAATCTAGCTTTGTCTCTCACCATATAAGCCATTCTCTCTCTTGTGTTGAATGATGTGTTCCGACTTTAAAGAACATGATGTAACTGGTAGCCTGTGGGTTGCATCTGACCCCACATTAACCTTGAATATATTTCTTGGATGAATTTGATATACTTGGTTGCTGTTGGTAGTTGCTTTAATCAAAGGTTTATCAGTTCATTCATGATTTTGGGATCCTTCTTGGCATTTGTTTGTCTGTTTATCAGCCTTTAGAAATAGTTTATTCACAAAACAGCTTCTGACCATGAAATACCAAGATAAATGTAGCCACAGCTGTTTCTATTAGTCCAACAGTATTGCTGTTATTTATCAAACACAATGGTGGTTTTTCAAGTCTAACAAAGGAAGGACAAAGAGTGCTCAGTTCTACTTGTGTGTTCATATTCCGTGCGGTACTCCAGGAGTGTGTGTTTGTGTACTGACCTTGTGCTCTCTCTGTGCAGGTACACCCTTTGCTGATGCGCGAGAGGCGCTCGGAGTCTCACAGGAACAAGCTACTGCGGCGGACAGTCAGCGTTCCTGTTGAGGGAAGGCACCATCCCGAGATGGGTGAGCAGACAAGCCTTTAAGCAGCTTTACTGTGATTCCAAACTTGAGGTTTTAAATAAGGTCCAACCGAGAGTTATTTTCTTATTTTTATTCCTCTTTTTAAAAATCAAATGGTATCAAATCCAGTTAAGTCCATTAAGGACACTTTTGAACACGTCAGCCTGAAGTGGTTGCCTGACTTTTTGCCCCGGATATGTCTCATCATTATTTCAACTCTTCTTCCCTATTGTCCATTTCGATTTTCACAGACATTATCACCTGTATTACTTCAACTTAGCTTGCTTATAATAATAGAATAGTTGCATAGCAACGCCAATGATGTAAAGCTCTTTGCATCCTTTGAGCCATTACTCTCAGTGTTACTAGCAACGCTCACAGCAGCACTCTGCATCTGAGCTGAGATAAAAGCAACCATCTGATCAGGGCTTAAGGCAGCTGTTTTCTTTCTGCCAGATTTTGCCAAGCTATCCTTTTTTTTATGTTATTGGTTGTGTTGCTTTTAAATGAAATTCATGTATTGATACCTTGATAATCATGCTCCTTCTCTGTCTTGAGTTCCCTGTCTTTTTATTTTTTCCTGAATCTATACAGAAGTTGAATTTTTCTTTTCTCACTCTTTTTCATTCTTTCTTTGTGTCACTTTTTTCATCGTCCCCTCTGCTTTGGTATCGCTGCACTGTCCACTCAAACCCTCCTCGGGCGCTCTGATAGCTGCCTTCCTCTGTTTGTTTTGCCTGACTCAGTCTCTCTGGGCGCTCTACAAATGTCCCGCTCAGTTTCTCCCTCTTCCTTCACCCTCCACCTCTCCGTCTCACTCAGCTATTTTAAGGGCCTCCCTCATGACGTCCTCCATCTTTCTGCCACTGCTGCCACCGCAACAGTTGTGCTGATTCAACTGGATAAATATTCTCCTCAGTTTTCATATGAGTGGCTCTCTGACCTCAAAGCGGTCAAGCACTGACACATCTTTTGACACGGCCCGCCACGTTTTGACACATGCTGATATAGCAATGCCAGTTCGCATTGTCTGTGTGTACTGTAAGCGTATCGTAAACACACTCACATATGTTAGCATGCTACGCTACCGGCCATAATGCACTGACACCATTATGGACCATCTGTGGTGACTACGCCCCAAAGAGCCAAAGGAGATTAATGCGCCCCAGGCAATTAGTAATTATCAGATCAACAAAAAAGTAAATGGAGGTTGTCATGAGGCCACAGAGATTAGGTCTGCAGGGAGCCACATGACCTATTTTGTAAAATCCTTGACATTTAACATTGAGCTGAAGAAGGTTCAGTGATGATACTAATTCAGTGTTTAGTATGCACCAACAAAGTTTGACAATTGATTGTATGAAAACATATTACATCAAATTTGTTTTTAACTGGACTGGTGCAAACTTTGGACTTTTGTCACACATTTAAGGTGCAGTGTAATTGGAGGTGTGTGATGGACTGGTGCTGCTCAGTGGCCGGCCGATAACACTGTGGTTGAACAGGCCAGTTTCTCATTTTGAATATTAGTATCTGCAGGAGTGTGCTTGGGAAAGATAATTCATTTTCAGTAAGTGTATGAATACATAAGTTAAAAAAAATGTATTAATAATGGCCATAATCCCAATGTCCCGTGCCTGTGTACAGTTTGGGCTTAATTGTGCCTCAAATTTAACCTAATTAGTTGACATTTTGGGGAATAAACTCATTTGCTTTATTGCTAAGACTAAGATGAGGAGATACCACTCTTGTGTCTGCATGCTAAATATAAAGCTACCTCTAGCAGCTGGCTAGCTTTGTTTATTACACATACTGGAAACGGGTAAACTGTTAGCCTGGCTCTTTTCAGAAGTTTCAAAATCTGCATGATTTACATCAAAATTTTAGTTGCTGCATCTTAGTAAAATCTCTTAATATAACTGTGTGCTTGAGATCGCATCTTTCTGGGTCCTGTTATAAAATGTCCCCAACAGTAAATACTTTGTATTGTGTTTGTTTAATCATACAGAAACCAAAGTTAACAGTCGACGCGTAGTTGTTTGTGGTGGGCTATGTACTTGACCATTTCTTGGGCAAAGCAACTTCCTTGAATGAAAGTAATTGTGCATATTGTTGTGCTAAGCTAAGCTAACTAGCTGCTGGCGGTGGCTTCAAATTTACCATACAGACCAAGTTGCAACATCCAGGAAAAAATTATGCCAAGGTTGACGTGCTAAGAACTACAGTTCCCCAAAAGGCCACTTGAAGCTGGCTCCAAAACAAAGTTAGTCTCATAGCCAAACTTTACAACAGAAATAAACATGTTTACAGCCTGGTGTGAAAAATGGTTTCGGTCTCTATAGCTAATTTACACGTTAATGACAACTGTCCAGGGGGTGAATCTTTATGTAACTCATGCCTCTAAATTTTATTAAGGCTTAAAGTTATGTATAATTTAGGGTGTGGCCTCTTTGAGTGACAGACTGTCTGTAGGCGTCACAACAGTCTGTAAGTCGGATTCGTCCCTGCACTCCACCACAGCTCCACTCTATCGTCCATATTTGGTCAGTTCTGGCTCCAAAATATCCAAGATGGTGATGGCCAAAATACTGAAGTTGATGTTTCAAAATGTGAGTCCACAATCGAATGGTTGACATCCATTATTCTTATGCAGTCTATGGTACAGACATAAGAGTGGCATTGTGCCAGTGTGAAGTTTGGGCCCAGTGCAGTGTTACGAGTGTGACCAAACCTCAGCACATCTAATAGTGCAGTGATGGAGTGAAGGATGTCAGTGTCAGTTTTGGCAATCAGTATTAGAGCCTACTCAGTAACACAGAAAGACAGTCACTATTAATGTCAGTTCAGGCGTGTTACCAGGACCCAAACAATACCAAGGTCAAGTGACCTAGAAGGCTGAGGAGGAGGGATGAGTCTGAGGCTGCTCTATCTGTCTGTCTTTATTTGGGTAATTCAATTCTGTATGCATTTAGGGCATTCATATAACTCGAAACTAGGCCTCCATTGAGTCCATTCTGCAAACATTAAGGACCATTCATTCCACTCTGAAATGATGAATGAACTACATCTTTCACAGAATTGAAAGGCATGACCTCGCTATCATCAATACATTCAAATTCTGCCGGTTCAGTATATTTCCATGTGCGGAGAGAAGATTAAACTGCAGATGCTGCAGCTGCTGCAGCTGCCAAACACTCACCCATGTGTTTGTGACAGCATTAATACGTCAACCTTGATTCATTATTCATCAGAATTGTAAAAAGCCGGCATTTTTCACAAGATATTGATGCACGGAGACATTTGACAACAGTCCCAGCTGGATGCCTGATGTAGTGACACAGTCAGACGGAGGATATTGGGCTCTACCTTCGATACACGATTAGTCAAACACATAATGCCTCAATAGGTTTCTCCACTCCTCTGTCGCTGTTGTAACACATCAGGTGATGCAGATGCATTATTTCCCTCCTTCATTCACTTCTCTGTACCTTTAAGGTTCCAAATAAACCTTTTAAGTCGAGGAGGCAATTAGTGCATAATGAAGACATTAATTTTTCTGGATAATTACAGTGCAGCATAAGCATTTTATGCAAATATGAGGCTTAATTAACTTTTTATGATTGTAACAGGGGAAAATGACCCTTTTTTTTAACTAAACCAAAAAAATGTTCCTTCTTGTGTTTGTTTTGTGTTTGGTTGCAAAGTACTAAAGATTTTTTCTATTAAGGCACTAAAATAGGATGGGTTGTGCAGGAGTATTGTACCTACAGTACCACTGATCAAAATTAGATGTTACAAGTTTCTGATAGTTCACAGGCTGATACCATATTTGACATTAATCTGAAAAAATCTATTGGCTGATATGTAAATTTACATTGGAAACCTTTTACAGTAATTACATCTGTCCAGGTCAAATTGATCATAATAAGTAGACACCAGCTAACTGACATTTGTATATTTATTACATTAAAGGTCCAGTGTATAAGAGGATAGATTAACAGAAATGGAATATAATATACCAAGTATGTTGTCTTTTGTGTATAATTACCTGAAAATAAAAAACTGTTGTGTTTTCATTACCTTAGAATGAGCCATTTACATCTACACAGGGAGCGGTTCTTTGTCCACAGAGAGCGCCATGTTGCACTGCCATGTTTCTACAGTAGCCCACAATGGACAAAACCAAACACTGGCTCTAGATATGGTCATTCACGTTTTCGCGTCAACCTCTGTAGTTAGAAGCCCCTCTGCGACAAGCAGTGTCAGAGAAACACTGTTTTTTAAATGTGAAACTTTTATTCAGTGTTTTTACTGGTTGAAATCACCTGGTCCATTTGTTTCGGAACTTAATGCGGCTCCCAGTTAAAACCCTCTAAATCTGGATCCTAAAGGGGAAGTCCGGTATTTTGCACTTTGAGCCCCATTTCTGGGTTGTTTATGATGAAATAGAGTGGCTAAGACCAAAATAGTGACAATTGTTAATTTTCGGAGAATTTGGCTTTCCCCTGCCTGGCTTAACACTGCTGCCTATGGCCATGTGTGAACCTGTCCCAAAACCACCCTAAATGTTCGTTTTCAAAGCCATGAAACTCACCGAGTGGTATGTGGTGTTCGTTGATGTTCTGACATAAAAATCGTAGCAAACTGTGGTTTCCGTGATGATTTATTTGACATTTTGTGTAATCCACTGGTTTTCTTTTTTTTTTTTTTTTTTTTTTAAGATATTTTTTTGGCCATTTTGCCTTTAATGGACAGGACAGGTAAGCATGAAGGGGGAGAGAGAGAGAGGGGGGATGACATGCAGCAAAGGGCCACAGGCTGGATTTGAACCCAGGCCGCTGCGGCAACAGCCTTGTACATGGGGCGACGCCCCAATCCACTGGTTTTCTATAGAAGCCTCATTGTCCGTTGGTAGTAATCCGCCACCGGAAATGGAAAGGGGGTTGTTTACGACAAGGTTGTAGTCATTGTAGTCTTTTAACTCAGCGAAAGTGCGGGCTCGA